GTGTGTGTGTGCATGTGTGTATATAGTCTGTGATACAGTGCTCTCATAGCCACATCTGAGAGTTGTAATTGGCTGAGGAGGAAGTTGTAGCTGTAATTGGCCACTGAGGGGATGATTTGGTCTTAATGTATACTGTATATAACAAACACCCTGATTTGTAGTTTCCAATCAGTACTACAATCAGGTTTTTGGACTTTATTCACTAGAGATGCACCGTCCGATCACATAGAGACTCATAAACACACTATGACCCACAGACAGTGGCTGAAAGTCAAAATAAGCCAAAGAGTATATGGAAAAAACAAGTTATATTGATTTACCACAGGATGCAGTATACCAGAGTATTAATTCAGAACTGAATACATTTGAATTCTAAAGTTGATTTCTGTGCTTGCACTCGGTCTATATGTGATTGTGTTGTGGCCTGTAGGTCCATATGATATAGGGAATAATTTACTTATGAGCTGTAATGTTTTCTGTGATTGAGTAGAGACATATCTCGGTCTCAAGGCTGTCACTGTGCGGGTGGATGGACTGATGAGAAATGTGTACGGGGAAGCCTGTAGGGGAGAGGAGGGAAGAAAGTGGAGTTCAGCAAAGTGCTGAGTTGACATCTGTGGATGTCAGGGCGGGGGCTCTTGTTATTCAAATATGCAAATAATGGTTCTTTGCATTGAATTTTTTTTTTTTTTTGAAGGCTTACTGATAAATGCCACCCCTTTGTTTTTGGATCTTTGACTGTCCTTCATTTCTGGACAAAGCAGAAATTTTACTCACACCACTTACTTGCCCACACACAGCAGCACACAAACCAAAGTTAATTCAATACAGATTTTTGCATCTCCCGGTCTCTGCTGAGTGTGCACTCTCACAATGTGGGCTAACTGAGTAGCTTGATGGAAATGAGGCTAAAGTTTGGTGCCAATTAGATTGGCAAGGGACCTGAGATGTATTAGTGTGAGAGTGAGAAGAGACAGGGCTCCACCTGCTCTACATTAAAGACTCCAGGGTCTGGATCACTGAAAGCTGTTGCTGTCAATGTGAAGGTAGATGGTCAGCACCATTGGCCTGATCTTGTCACTACTGTAAAGAGACATGCAGATTGCAGTAATACTGAAAAATAGAAGGATCTGGCACAGGAGAAATGAATGGCCAGTTGTGCAGAGGTGATAAAGAAGGCAGTGTTTGAACTTCTCTCTCAACTATTCCTGTCACACCTTTTATGTGTACAACCAAAATGTGAACAACAAATTAGTAGTACAAACAGGTTTTGATCAAGCATAGTCCAGCCTTTATAGTTTAGTTTATTCCCTTTCTTTTTTCTAAAGGGTTCACAACTTTATTGAAGGTAAACTGCAGAGTTCAACATAAGGTTTAAGGTTTATTTTAATACAATACGATAATATGATAGATTGTGATACATTTTTTTTACTTCTGATTCTTCTTGTTATGTTTGGTATTCTGCAGTGTTTCCAATTTCATTATAATTGTATTCCTCATGTTTTCCAAGATGATTCTGTCATGATTTCCAATTTAAAACCCCACTGAAGTTCTCATGGATTTTAAATGTTCAGGCTCTTCCCGTGCTCTGTGTGACTCGCTCTTGCTGTCTCGTGCACTCCCTCTCCATCTCTTCCTCTAACTTGAGGTGTCAAGTTTCACAATCTCATCCCAATTGCACGTAATGTCTCAGTTGCCATGGAGATCAGACTCCAGGCCTTTTTGAGGTTGGAGGTGGAGAGACATAGAGTAACAGTCAATCAACACCTCCAATACAGTTGAGGAGAGAGTGGAAGGAGGAAAACCAGAAGCTGACATGTGCTGATGATTGAATAGTGTGACTGGTCAGATAAAAGGCCTACAGCACAGATGAGTATGTGTTTCTAACCTTCCACTTATGTGTGAGGGGATTATAGTTCTGGTGTTTTTTTGAGA